ATTAATCAAGTACGTAATTTTAAGTTTGCTCGAAAAATATTTACAGCGTCTATGCATTTTGTTGAAATTTGCCATCGTGGCATTTTAATTTCATGCGATTTGTGAGAAGATAATAAAAATAATGTATATTTTCTGTAAGTTTTTTGTGGAACTCAGCCGGCGTCACCAGTGAAGAAGCACCTCCGAAAGGGTGGAGTGCCAAAGGAAAAAAAAAATCGAGGGGTCTCTTCCTTTGCCGGAAAAGGCTTCCTCCTCCTGAATTGATTGGAATTGAATAATAAATGATGGATTGTCGTATCCCGTCAATACTCATTAGAGGCCAGTTCACAATGGTTATTTATCCCCCTCTCTCTTATACAAACAGCCATTGTGAAAAGAGTCGATTCGTCAGTCCCTCGTCACAAAGGATCCCTGATAATAATTTACACATCTGCACGAAGCCCGGGCCCCGACAATGTGCAGTTGTTTGTTTATATCATTAAAGCCTCTCTTTTATTACGGCACACCTATACATTGCGGACTCACCTGTATAAATAGCTTATTGTATTCGAGTTTTGTTCCCGTGGACATTGGTGGTCGTACTTGCATTTGGCTGTCACACAAAAGACGAGATCGTCAACAAATCCATGTATACGGCATTTATGACAGTTATTTTTATATGTTTTGCAGATCGATTGGTTAATTCCAAGACACGGCCAATCAAAATTCTTCTACTCGTTATCATTTATAATACTACAGGTTGCTGAAATCAGAAATGCAAAAAAGAAATGATAATAAATTACTGATAATGTTTACAATGAACCATTTCGAGGAGGAGTTTTGAGGAGAACAACAACCCATTCGGTGTCCCGAATGTGTGATCATATATATATATATATATAGTGTCAAAAGTGGTTAAAGACGATGTAAGGCACATAATTTACAAATAAGATACGTCAAGTTTTAAAAAATATAGGTCAGGAATTTGTGGCATCCATTTTCACACTTATTTTCTCAGCTGTCCAGACGGGCCTTCGGCTTTTCCATTTCTTTCAGGTTTCCTGCGACTTTCACACCCTATTTGGAGGCGCGGTTAATAGAAGCAGAAACTAAGCTAACACCCTAGAGTCGCAAAACTTACTGAATCAGTTATAGTTGTAAAACTGCTAATACATTATAGTCGCCAAAACTACAGAATTGGTTTTGCTGAGGCAAGGATAGCAAGCAGGAAGATACAAACGATAAGGCTTGACCGTTCCACTCAGCCAACAGCCAAATCATCGTAACGACAACATATTGTTCGTATAATAATATTTATATTCTTACTAAAATTAAAAGGAGAACCTGTGCTAATTCAGCATATACCAATGATACCAACAGAAGTGCCTTTACAATTCAAACGATTGCAATCTCCAATTAAACTGGCTTTTGCAGTAATGATCAACAAATCACAGGGTCAATGATTGCTATTATGTGAAATGAATTTGTAGAATCCATGGTTTTCTCACGATTAATTTTACGTTGCATACACCAGGATGGGGGGTTTGTTGTTTGCACATATTTCAAATGGAATCACGAAAAACATTGCATATCCAATAGCATCGTAATGAATTTACCGCTGAATAGAACAATAACTACAATTCAATACAATGTAATCCAAAACAAAAATAATATTGTATATATAAATAGCTAGTATAATGACTAATAAATAATGACTAAATAATCATCGATATCAAACATTTAATTGTGTTCATTTCATTTATATATATTCTCCTATCTAACAATGGAAATATGTATACTCAAAATAATGTGTTAAATAACACTTATTACCCCCCGGGATACAAAGCTAGTCTGGAATAAATTCCAAGAGTTGTTGAACAACTACCGTGGCAAATAGCAGCAGTGACAGTCAATGACCTGATACTTCTAAGGAGAAGGATTGAGTCTATTGCACTGAACTAGGGAAATAGGAAGGTACAATAAGCCAGAAGGCTGTAATGCCTGGGGAGTGCAAACCCTGCTTCCTTTTTCACCATACCATACCGTGGCAAATAGGTAATAGCACGGAAATACTGTAACGTTGATACGGCGGACTTTTGTGCGATATGGCAAGTTCTTGGGTGATTTGAAATGATGGCTCGGTTCACCTTGTCTACAGCGCCTCCTTCAGCGAGGTCTCTGATCAACGTGGTACTCGGTGGTCCCTCTATTTATGCTCTTGTTGGAGGAATACCGCGAGCTGGAGCGTCTCGGCAAAGACGGTGGTTGTTATCTGGGTAACTCGGACACATCTAGGGTCTGGAGGATAACTAATAGGTGTACGAGACGAGGATGTCCTCCGGAATTAATGCGCGTAGGAATGCCACCCGATATGAAAATAGTGCTTGAGCACGATAGCGGGTATCTGGGTGCCCCTTCAGATTTTTGGAAAAACAGGGTTGTTTTACTGCATATAGTAAAGATAGTTTTGTGTCACGTAGAAAGTGTTGAGAGTAAATGTATTTATTGGCGTGAATATGTGAGAGGGCCGATGGCGGACTGTTGAGTAGAGAAGTGCTTGTGTATATGTAAATCAGTTACCAGTGGCGAATTCGCGTTGAACACACGACCACTCTGGTCATCATTTTATGTATTTATTGATTTTTACTTCTACAAATTAAATAATAGAACAGCGGCACTAAGATCTAAACAAAAAATGGATTAACATTGTGGTCAATTTTGTACTTTTGGATCTAATTCAAGACCGCCGTTTTGAACCCGGGACCCCAGTCTGCGGCCACCGGTACTCACAATTATTATGATTCACTAATTTTCGTGGTCCGCTGACCAATTAATATATTTCACTTAATTAAGGTCTTTAGTTGAGATAAAAAAGTCAGTGTCACGAACGGGATTCGAACCGAAGACCTTCACATACTCTACCACTTGAGCTATCGTGACTTCGATCCACGTTGGGACACCAACGTCCCATCTCAACCGCACCTTTTGAATTTTCCCTCCTTTTTGCCATTTTTGTCGCCGAGAATCAGCACGAACACTAATGAATTTAATAAATTAAAATGAAGTAGTGAAGTATACTTACGTGGTACAGCGGCGTATCTAGCCGAAATTCGTGGGTTCGAATCCCGCTCGTGTCACTGACTTTTTTATATCAACTAAAAACCTTGATTAATTGAAATTATTATTATTGTATTTATACCTCCTATACAAAATTATCCGAAGAAGAAATTAATTTATGAAAACAGAGACCCAAAGTGGGGTCTCTTTTTAGACAAATTATATCCAAAATATCCTGACTTTATTATTTGTTTATAATTAATTTGTTTACCACAATAACATAATATGGATGAAAGTGTATTCTAACAATTTCATTTTTATTTCTGTTCAGTCATCTTACTGATATAATAGTTTCGACTATATTCATCTACCAAAATACCATATCCGAACACGGGTCCAAAAATGCTACCTAAAAAATCGTTGTAATGTTTTAACCAAAAAAGAAAAACCAACAATGAAGAAAAGTTAAGATCTAAAATTGTACTTAGTAGTAGCACACATTTAATTGATAATAGTGTACTTCAGCAAGATTCAATTCTTGTTTTTTGTGCCATATCAGAAATATATGATTAGAAAAGTTCCATTGATGCCAATTTTAGATAACTGTGGAATTAATATTGTATGGTCAACAGAGCAAAATTCTTAACGTCCAAAAAATGACTACAACCCTTATTTTATTATCTAATTTATGAGCAATCAGATTAATAACTTCAAATAGAGCTTGTTCGTCTCATTTATTACGAAAAAAACCAAACCGATTAGTAGAAATTATATTATTTTTGCAAAGAAATTTAACTAATCGATTTTGATACATTTTTCCATGATTTTTGCTAATTATAGGGATAAATAATCAGGTCGTTAGTTATTGATATGTAATTTTGATTAACTTTTTAATAATCTTATAACAGGTGTTCTTTTAAAAAATATCCCCAGTGAAAGAGACAAATTAAAAATATAAAGAACGGAATGAATAATAAAAGTATATACATTGAAATCAATTTAAATAAACGGTTTGTTAGATAATTATCAAAAAATCAGTTTTTATCGTTAAAGTTTTTAAACAATTTTTCCAGTTCTTCGAAATTAATTGGGCTCAATACAAAGGAAATTTGATTCGATTTAGAGCTATGAATTATAAGTTCGGAATTTTTATCATATTTGTGGAGAGAGAATCGGTATGAATCGCCGCAATGATTTAATTATTTTAAATATTTAATTTAAAAGATAGTAATGTATAATCAAAGATATGTTTCATCTTCTAAATTAAACAACCAAGGGAGTGTATTCAAACTATACTGTCATCATTTTTTTTTTCTGCAATCTTTTATAAATATCTAAGATACCTATCGCCTTGTTTATATTAATATCTCGAATAGTTTCTGAAGAATAAGCATTTTACTTATAACAAAAGAATAATTTAGTACTAAGACCAGCGATAAGAGCGATTTATAGAAACGTTGATGTTGGGGTGAATAACATTTCCTGCGACATTTTGTTGATTGTCATTTATAAATATTTGCTCATTCTATAAAACGGTTACCGACTTTGAAATAGTAATTTTGGAGCCGAAGATGAAAAGGAATTTCAAATTTTACAGTTCAAAGTGTGTCACATATTCTTTGACGAGAAGGGGGAGTCAAATTCTTAGTAAAGAGTGAAGGTAGAAGTTCTTAATAATGAGCCATTGTTTCCATGACTTATGCCTGCTTGTTTGGACAAATCTCACAATGGTCGAACAATGTGACGACCACTAACGCCCAATGTAAATCCGGGCCTCTCTAATTTACGCCCATTCAGACTCGGCAGCGAGCGTATTGTTGTTTTTGTGGCCCGTTTTGACTAACAGATGAGCCGTGTACGTACCGTCTTTTCGGCCATTGTGCCCATTGTTCGGGCCAATGAAACACTTTGTCTTCTTATTAACTTATTGTCTTTAATGTTTCGGTGTGATTTTCTCGTTTCAGGGATGGGAAGCGCTCAGATCTCGCCGTATTACAACCCTGCTGCTTACAACTCGTTGAACGCAGCCAGCATAGCAGCAGCAGCAGCGGCCGCCGCGGTCGCACAGCAGTCTGTTCCTTCTACTGTCACCAGCTCACCAAGTGTAAGTCAATTTAAAAACAACCTAACAAAATCCAAAACAAGTTAACATAACAAAAAAAAGGTTCACTTGGTGACGCCAAACAAAGCCCAATGACAAAATCTGCTTATGTTGCAAAATCAGAAAACTTCTCTAGGTTCAACAACGATTTCACCTATTGTAGGTTAAAGAGAACTCTCATTTCATGAACTTTAAGTAATTTAAGAATCGACTGTATACCTAAGCCGCCCTTCCTTAAAATTCGGAACCCACCGGCAATTTCTATTGAAGTTCGTTGTTCGTTTCCATCGGTCTGCAGAGTTGGAGTTGGTGATGAGAGAGTGGCAAGATTTATTTTCATGATCTGCGGTGACCATCACTACGCTAGGATCGGATTGTTTTGTTCTGCCAGCGGTTAGTCAGTGATATAAGCAGGGATAAAAGCAAGACAATAAATCGACTATTGAAGATGGAGAAAAGCCGAAACGTGTTTGGCAGATAATAACTGCGAGGATTCTAAGAGACGGTCAAACTGCATGAGTGTAGAACGAGATGGTGATTTTTTCATTGATATCAATTTTTTGTACACCCATGTACAGGAATCAAGAATCAAGAAATCTCACAATATAAACCCAATATGCTTTGTGCACATTAATTGTTGGAAAGTGACCTTTCATTTTAGTCTTAACGATAAATGTGTTGGTGTGTGTAAGCTTCAGATAACGTTTTGTCCATGCCGATATTTCAGTCAAATTTTAAAGTTATAGTGGTTATCAAAATAAATGAAAATTGAAATAGAACAGCTTGATAATTTTCATTAGTTTTTATACAGAAGAAAAATTAAATAAACGGTCGTTGTAGAAAGTTGCAAATTTGTAATTTTTACTGTATTAGTACAATAGCTTTCAAAATCACATTAATCAAATTTTTGATAACTGCAGATTGAACGGAAAAAATAAGCTTATCCGGTTAGCCATTGCTAATGTCGAAATCAGAAAACTGTTTCTTGTCGTTTTCCTCTTCTTTCCTATAGCTTGCATAAATGTGTGACTAAAACGAAAGGTCACTTTCTAACAATTAATGTGCAAAAAACATATAGGGTTCATATTGTAAGATTTAAGAGCCAGAGCATCGAGGTTTCATCCAAATTTCTTGAACACCCAAATAATGACAGGACCGGGAATTTCAACGCTTACCCGCACCGGTTCCATAGAGAAGTCCACTGTATCCCGACTGCGGACTTTATGACTGTGTCCTACGAGGACTGTGCAACTGTCACCTCCGTGCGAGAGAACCTTTAATGCTCCTTTTCCGCCACATTTGGCTACCGACCCTCAATGAACTGATTAAAGAAAAGAACAACTTTGAGGCCTTCAAGTCTTTTGGCTGAGCTAAGTTTAGATCGCTTCCCTGAACTTTTAATTACGGGCTGGTTACTTCTTATTTCCACATTTGTTAGTCATTTATTAAAATATTGTATATATAGTTTTATTGAAAGACTTATTAGATTAGGTACCTTTTAGGGCAAGGTCGAAGGAAGCCGTTAAGAACAGAAAGATCTCATAATTTTGCATACCATAAGAACTAGATAGGTAGCCGTGATCAGCCGGTATGATGTAGATGTAATTTCAGGTTATAGTATACTGCGCCCTTTAAGAGCTATCGTATCCCCCGTGCTCTGCCTACAGCACATCGGTGAGTCCTATTTCATCAAGAAACTTGATTAATAGGTGGTTCAACCATTTCAGTGGTTGAAGCTCTTCTATGATCACATACATCCTAAAACATTTCCTCCTGCGGGCTAATGTAGCTCCGCAGTTTGTTAGTAGATGTGTTGGTGTCTCTTCTGCCTCATTGCAGAATCTACATGTGCCATCTTGGATTGTTCCAGTTTTCTTTAAGTGTCCATTTAATTTGCAGTGTCCTGTTAGGAATCCTATTAGGATTCGCAGTCTCGCAGTCTGATCCTGCTTCCTTTGACAGATTCTGTAATTTCTTTCCTATCAAAATTGGTTAGAAGATTCTTGGATTGTCTATGTCCAATGAGTGAATTCCAAAGTTCTCTCATTTTCTTTTTGTCCTTCTGTCTGAGATATTCGTTAATAGAGTGGATTCCTATGCAACAGAAGGGATCCGCCGGTATGGATTCACTGCGCCGTCCTGCTATCTTGTCCAACCGTTGCCCCCTCTAGGCCTTTAGCTATCAAGCTTTTCCTACAAATTAACAAAAAAACTTCACAAACACGGACTATGCAATGTGGGCTAAAGTCAAAAGTCAACACGACCCGGATTATTATCGGATGGGGATAGAGGGGAAAAAACTTTTCCAGAAGGCCCTTTTTGTGGTCGCTTCCCTTTGATTAACGACCTTGTGTCGTTTGGATTTACGTTTTCTGCTTCCGCTCACGTGAGCCGTCGGATGTTTTATGATAGTGAGCGGCATGTCACGCGACTTAACGTAGTGGGGGATGATATTTATGTGTCTTCAGATGTGGATAGAAGGGACCCGCCTACCCGCCATCTTGAATATATTTATTACGACCAACTGAAAAAAAGAACGAGAAAAAGAACACTAGACCGGAACATTTCATTATTAACATAATTGTACAAAAAAGGTGGAAAGATATCCATCTAACGTCAACAGTATGACCATTGCCCCACTCGAGCGATAATGAACCTATTTACATGACAACATTAGCATTAATTGCGAACCGACACCGGGCTTGTTAAACTTAGCTCGAATCATGCGGCTACTGTCATCCGCATCGTTCGTCACACGTCAAACTCAATATAAATATTAATTCAAGGGTTGAAAGAAACCTTGACGTGCACAAACAAGTTATGACCTCCATTGAACGTTAGGCTGTTGACGGCAAAGTAAAAGTATAAATTGACATCAAAATTAAAAATATAACAATTTCTGCGGAAGGTTCTGGTTTAGCACTTTGCTAAATGATAAATGACTAAGCTTGCTGACAACGCGTATAACATACTTTAGCCATCTTAATGACCTTCCGGCCGTAAACTGCGAAATAAAATTACACGTTTGCTGCTTAATCGAACCAGAAAATCGTATTCAGCTCAATTGCTACGAACTGAACTAGTAGAAAAGCTAGATTTCCAAGGAAATAAGGAATCTTGAAAAGGTTAACATAGGGATAATATTCTTTTCTTGGAAGATCATCATGCTTACTTGATCCCCGTAAAAAAGGAAAGTTGATCAAGCAGTCTGTCATCTGATTCTTATTGTTAGACAAAATGCAATCGATGTGCATCTCTAAATTACAAAACTGACATATCTCCTAAATATATGAAGTCTATTTCCGGAATAAGAGAAATATCCACATTAATGACATCGCAATATCAAATTTTCTAGAAAAAAAAGCAGATGCTACACTAGCTGAAAGTTAGGATTGAATAGACAAAATAGTTTCTATATTGGTCCGCACATGGAAAAGCGTCAAACTTTCCAACCGGAAAAATTGAAATGAGCTAGTATTATTCAACACATTTTATAATTTTCGTCGCAATAAAGAACATTCAATAGTTTTACACGATAAAATTAACAATATAACGGATTTTGCAGCAATTATTCTGTATGGATTTATAGAAAACGAAAAATCCTCTGTTGTAAAAACAAATCTTTTGAAGATTGAATTTTGATGGTTTTAAAGTACTATTCTTTTTGGTATTCGGTAAAAACTGTAGATTAATCTAGGCGAAGTCTATTTCTAAGAGTCTAAGAGAAAAATCCTCATTAATGATACCTTAATATCGAATTTTATAGGAAAACAGCAGTGCCACAACTATCTAAAAGTTACGATTGAATAGATAAAATAGTTTCTATATTGGTTCGCATATAAAAAAGAGCCAAGGTAACCGGAGAAAGGCTCAACCGGAAAATTAAAATGGGCTAGTGTTATTCAACACATTTAATAATTTTCGGCGAAATAAAGTAAATTCAATAGTTTCACACGAAAAAACGTAACAATATAACAAAATTTTTCAGCAATTATTCTGCATGGATGTATGGAAAACGAAAAATCCTCTGCCTTAAAAAAATGTGTTTTGATGATTGAATGTTGATGGTTTTAAAGTACGATTCTTTCTGGTATTCGGTAAAAACTGAAGATTAATCTAGGCGAAGTTTACTTCTGAAATCAGAAAAAAATCCGTATTGATGATACCTTAATATCGAATTTTATTGGAAAACAGCATATGCCACAACTATCTGAAAGTTTTGATTGAATAGATAAAATAGTTTCTATATTGGTTCGCATATAAAAACGAGTCAAGGTAACCGTTGAAAGACTCAACCGGAAAAATTAAAATGGGCTAGTGTTATTCAACACATTTAATAATTTTCGGCGAAATAAAGAAAATTCAATAGTTTCACACGAAAAAACGTAACAATATAACAGGATTTTTCAGCAATTATCCTGCATGGATATATGGAAAACGAAAAATCCTCTGTCGTAAAAAGAGTGCTTTGATGATTGAATTTTGATGGTTTTAAAATACGATTCTGTCTGGTATTCAGTAAAAACCGTAGATTAATGTAGGCGAAGTTTATTTCTGAAACCAGAAAAAATCCTCATTAATGATACCTTAATATCGAATTTTATAGGAAAACAGCAGTGCCACAACTATCTAAAAGTTACGATTGAATAGATAAAATAGTTTCTATATTGGTTCGCATATAAAAAAGAGCCAAGGTAACCGGAGAAAGGCTCAACCGGAAAATTAAAATGGGCTAGTGTTATTCAACACATTTAATAATTTTCGGCGAAATAAAGAAAATTCAATAGATTCACATGAAAAAACGTAACAATATGACAGGATTTATCATTTTTACGATTCTTTCTGGTATTCGGTAAAAACTGTAGATTAATCTAGGCAAAGTTTATATCTGGAATCAGAAAAAAAATCCTCATTAATGACACCTTGATACGAATTTTATAGAAAAACGGCAGATGCCACAACTATCTGAAAGGATTGAATAAATAAAATAATTTCTATATTGGTCCGCAAATAGAAAAGTGTCGAGGCTTTCAACCGGAAAAATTAAAATGAGCCAGCATTATTCAACAGATTTAATAATTTTCATCGAAATAACGAAATTCGATAATTTCACATGAAAAAAAGTGTGATGTATAACATAAGTTTTGACCATTATTCTGCGTGCATCTGTGGAAAACCAAAAAATTCTGTTCTAAAAAAACCATTCTTTGTGGCATTTATTTTGCTGTTTTTAACTTATAATTCCTTCTGTAACGGTAGATTAGACTAACAATTACACGGATTTCCGTTGGTTTCATCCGATATTCCGTCTCGTGTGAAGCAACTTTTGAAAGATCCGGTTTCTTTTGGTATCTTTTACCGGACGCACATGTGCGAATATGGCCGGATAAGCTGATCATATCAGGGGATCTTCAGATCCAGTTATTCTCGTTTTCTATGATCAATGACTCAACAACATGAATATGCGTAAGACCTAGACAATAATTATTGTAACATGAAACAAATCTATCCTACAATAGAAGGTTGCTTACAATAAACCCAAAAAAAAGTTATATCGTTAAACAATTTCCTAAATTTATATTCAAACATACAGACTAAAAATATATTAAAAATATGTTCTGAAAAATGAATATTGTTTTAATATGATCATTAATGTTTTATTTATTACTAATTAGATTTTCTTGACCAAGTGAGTGGTTAGACACATTTAAATTTGCTAGTTTAATTCAGCCAGTCAGGGTACGTTACTCAAAGGGAGCTCCTCACTGAACTCGACGTGAAGCAGTGGAGTGAAATCTAAACCCGCGAGAGTAGGCGTAGAATGAACTATTGTCGATATATTAACTTAGTCAGGATAGTCGAGGATAGGGGATTTTTTGACAAAATAAAGCTCATTTAATTTTAATTTTAATTTAAAAAAAAACAACGATTACGATGGAAGGACAGAAAGATTTCTTGCTAAGTAGTAAGAGTGTTGATAATACCTTTTAAACAAGCCTAAAAAATACTCATATAATGATATGTACTTATCGTTTCATAATCCTAATTGACTAATATTTTGTTTTGTTATTTTTGTTATTATATAGATGGTTACTTCTATGGAGGCGATGAAATATTCTGTCGAGGAAAAATACAGAAACGCTTACGCAGCCAGTGGCCACTTTCCAGGCTATCCTGAGCCGGCTAAGTACGCCCAGGATTACAAGACGAGTTACAACTACTTGGACCCGGCCAACTTCACAAAGGCGTACTTCGAATCCGCGAAGAGCATGTACCCCGGGGACATGTACCAGGGACCGCCGGCCGACCCCGGCAAGTCGTTCCCGCACCAGGAGCCCATCAAACAGGAAAACGGGTCGACCGCATCACCGGAAAGGCCCGAACAGGACTCCTCCTCTTCTTCTTCGGGCGCTGGGTCGCCCGGAGGCGTCCCACACTTATCCTCCTATTATCCGACTCCCCTTCCGCCGAATTACCACCCTTCTTACGGGCACCCTCCGCCCGCTTCTCCTCAGGATTACAGGCGGCCGCTTACCGTCATCTTCTGACCTCACCGTCTTTGACTCACGCCTCCTTCCGACTTCAATTGATTTCTCGCACTTCTGCACCTTTCTCCTACGAGGTTTAATCGTCTAGATATAATAACAATAGTTTAGAGAACCTGTGCCATAAATATGTCATAAATAATAAACTATACGTTTTATTTTGTAAATAGATGTAACTGTGATTTAAATAATTGGAGATTAGTTTAAGTCTTTAGTTGATATTATCACTGGCCATGTTCCTACCGCAGAAGTGATTATATAGGTCTTTATTTGTGACTGTATTTTCGGCGGTTTACTTTTATCAAAGATTTGTGTTGTTATACGATTTTATTGTCGACTCATGGGACGTTCCTAATGTAATAAAGTACGACGATTTGTTTAAAAATAAACCATCTCAAAAAATGTTCTCGGTTCTTTTTATTTAAACTATCCTACTACAAATGTCCAACGCCAATTTGCTTTTAAGGATATTCTTGGAATGGTCCATTTCGAATGGACAAACGTAAGTCAAACACTTATAAGTATTTTTTGGAGTTTTGTCGGTTTTTACGATATAAATCTCCTACCCAGCACAGTCTTTGCACCTCAAAATTTGATTGAAGTTTCATAGTAATTTCTTTTATAAGGTATTGGTTGAGATAAAAAAAGTAAATGTCACGAGCGGGATTCGAACCCACGACCTTGGGCTAAATACGCCGCTGCTCTACCACATCTCAACTAAAAACCTTAATTAATTGAAAGATGTTAGTTGGTCAAGCGGACCACGAAACTAGTGAATTTAATAAGTAAGTGATATGAATGCTTTAGATAAATTTTATTAGGTTTCGTGGTCCGCTTGACCAAATAAATTCTTTTCAATTAATTAAGATTTTGGTTGAGATAAAAAAGTCACAAGCGGGATTCGAACCCACGACCTTCGGCTATACTTATAAGAGCGATACGACGCTGCTCTACCACTTGAGCTATCGTGACTTCGATCCACTAGGACACCAACTTCCCATCTCAACCCCACCTTTTGAATTTTCCATCCTTTTTGCCATTTTTCAAATGTCATCTAATCAATTTGATTCTCGGTGACAAATGAAATGGTCACGGAGAGCTTAGTGAAGATATACTTCGTTGTTTTTTTTATGAAATAAAAAAAAAAAAATTGTTCTGTGTACAGGCGTTAACTCACCTGAGGAAGGATTAACATAAATCCGAAACGTTGCGGATAAAAATTGCTTGTGGTTTTTTGAGATGACCTATTATCCCACCTTCAAGAAGGAAGAATCATAAGATTTATTAAATCCGTTATATTTCGTGGTCCGATTGACCAAATAAATTATTTCAATTAATTGATTTTCATGTAAGGTATTGGTCGAGATAACAACGAAATATAATGGATTTAATAAAGTAAAATGAAGTATATATTCACTAAAGCTCTAGTGGTAGAGCAGCTGCGTATTTAGCCGAAGGTAGTGGGTTCGAATCCCGCTCGTGACACTGACTTTTTTATTTCGACCAATACCTTACATAAAAATTAATTAATTGAAAGAAGTTATTTGGTCAATAGGACCACGAAATATAATGGATTTCATAGTAACGATATTTAGTGTTCTGAGCAACCTTATTACATTACAAATCTGGTCATAAACCCTACATATATATGTTAATTAGCGTAATAATTGGTGTTTAGCGTATTGTTTGCTACTAAAAATGTTCAAATTTCCAGGTTTCTGCTTAATATTGGTGTTTGTAAAATATTATATTACCTCAGAAAAGGCAATATTGTTTGTCTCTGCATCGTTTTCCCCAATCGATTTCTTCCTAGCTATCTACCTCTTGGGGATGAAAGATCATGGGCTATGTTGTGTATGGCAAACTGTCGTGCTTTAACAAGCTCCCTCTTCTCATTGTTGTCACTGATTGGGCGAACCCCTCGAAACACGGCTTTCAAATGTTTGTATCGATACCGTTTCCCCCGCACCTTGTTACAACCGAGACATCGTCTTTCGTTGAGCATCCGACAAATGAGATACTTTTGTAATTGCAACCCTCTACTTAGTCTAAATGTCCCATTTTAAATGTATCCTTTTTTCAAAAAAATTATCTTAGTACCATGTATTTTATGGTTTTGTACGTTTCCGAGGGTTGTCATTATTTTCGAAATGGTCTTTAGTTTTATAGCAGATCCTCGTTAAATCTGTGCCGACGCGACTCCCGTTTGGCGAAAGCTGTTCATTATGCCGGGTGGATGTTTGGCCGTGGGGTGACAATGGGCCTATTGTAGTTTCACTGTCCTGTGAGACAATGGTTAGAATGTAGGAGGGTCCCGAGCATAATGCGCGAGGTTATGTTGTTGCAATTTGCCCTTCTAAACATTCGGCCGTTCTTCATCCTCCCCATACTCCCATCCCCCTTTGTTATCACCACTTAGATTCAATTTCGACTGACCCTTTATAATAAAACGGAATATCCAAAAAATCCTTACCTAAAGATTGTATATTTTAAAAATTGCCTGTATTAAAGGCATTTCTCTTAAACTAGGTACAAGTACTTTATAAACGTTGTTTTTAACGAGCTAAGTCACGTCTTTGTTTTCCACTAAGCTTAGTTATAAAGCTAACCAAGCTACAACGTCAAACTTGTGGAAAATAAGTGCAGACTTTATTTATAACGAAGTTATTGTATATCAATTATTACGTTTTACAAACGTGTAACTTATCTCGATATGATTGACAGCAGCTTTTTATATTACAAGGAAATCTCATTCAAGCTTTTGAGGAATAAATCCCCTCCATCAAGACTTTCAAATTATTATTACTACGCCTACTTACATTTCTGAAACACGGTTTCAAAAATATTGATTTTCCGAGTAGAACGAGATGTACAATCTGTCCATTCCCTATCGGAAGAAGGAACTGTTTTCTTAAAATAGGCATTATCCTAACTTTTGTTAATACAAAATTAAACGTGTGTGGTGATTAATTAGTCGATGATTATTCAGAAATCGTGAGATGCGGTCTGGTGTGATGTATGTTTCAGAAAAACATTTTCTTTATCGTGCCAACGTTTCGATCTTTATTGAGATCATCTTCAGGGTCTGGGATTTACAAACATTGTTTGCATTTAACAAAAAACATGTAGGTTGTGTAAAAAAGTGAATTTATACAATGTGTAGAAAACAAACACTTTTAGTGAGTAGAAATACTTTGATTGATTATAAAAAAATATTTTTTTGCATTGTATAAATTCACTGTTTTTTGTCAAATTTCTCTGAAGATGATCTCAATAAAGATCGAAACGTTGGCACGTTAAAGAAAATGTTTTTCTGAAACCTACATCACACCACACCGCATCTCACGATTTCTGAATAAACAAAATTAAACGTATAATCCTTATAGCTGAGTGTTAATGTTAACTATAATAATAATAGACACAGGGGGTGTCGGTGCTGGAAAGATTGTGACTCATCACTGTAAGAGTCCCGAGTTCAAATCTCAACATCCCAGAATTCGAAGCCAACACACTCAAACTTTGTGCGAGAAAGGGTGAGCCAACAAAATTGAGGGTAATCCTTCACTCTCGAATTCTCGAATTTCTCAAGAATCCGCTAAATTCAGTTTGTGCTAATTGCACTGTTACTTTGAAAATCCAACTTCGAAATCATTTCTGGGCAATGACTAACTCTACACAGTAAATTGTAACTAATTCGTGACCAACTGACCCGACTCAACTAATGACTAGTCGGTGACTTGTGTTAACCACTGACTGCTCACTACCTAGTGTCTACAATATTTGAGCAACGGCTATTTGCAGAACTCCCCTGAAAGCTCCAGTGGGGCTTTCATCCCCGTGGCACCTAGTACCCTTTGGCTTCACTATTTTGCGTTTCATGAGCTTTACTTTAGAGGGGATTTTTGAGCATCCTGGGATGACTCGAAATGTGCTGCTTCGACTTTTACAAATCCTCACTCTAATTTTTCTACATAGTTAATGTTTTGTACATTTATCGACCAGCTTATGCAGACAATGTTCACTTAGTTATCAGGGATGTAGTCAAATAAAAAATTTTTAATATAAAATCTTCGCCTAGCTTTCGGATGTTTATTGTACTTTCTTTGGGGCTCTACAAAATACAGTTAATATAATAATTTTTACAAATTAATTATTAATTAGTTACACAGCTCATTAGCTATACATTCTCAAGAAATAGATATATGCAATAGATATGTTTATTAATTTATTTAAATTTTATATCTCGTTGGTTTTTTTCTTTTACTGGCAGGATAATCACATGTAGTAGGGTTTTTTACAAAAATCCTGTCTTTTTAAAAAAAAGTTTTTATTTTTATGAAATAGACTTAGGGGGCTTCAGGTTTACGCCTCCCCTCTTCAGATTTACTTTCTAAAATTACAAATTAGTGTACGTTTTAATATTGAAATGTTTGTATTTAATTTATTATTGATCAATGTATTTTTCCGAGCACGTACCTTGGTTTATTTGCTAACAACGTAGTAGGTTCCCTACTTGTTATTGATTTAAAGACTATTTGCTATTTCTAACTTTACTAGGCCTTATAAAATTGACAAACTACATCAGTGAGTTCAGGCGTGTAACTTCATATTTCATTAATTCTTGTTTGATTCTCTAAACAAAATAATTTATTTCAATTAATTAAGGTTTTTAGTTGAGAAAAAAGTCGGTGTCACGAGCGGGATTCGAACCCACTATCTTCGGCTAGATACACCGCTGCTCTACCACTTTAGCTATCGTGACCTCGATCCACTCGGACACTAACTTCCCTCCTTTTTGCCATTTTTCAAATATCGTGTAATCTATTTGATTCTCGGCGACAAATGAAATGGCCACGGAGAGCTTTAGTAAAGGTTTACTTCATTTAAACTTATTAAATTCACTAGTTTCGTGGTCCGCTTGACCAATTAATATCTTTCAATTAATTAAGGTTTTTAGTTGAGAAGTGGTAGAGCAGCGGCGTATCTAGACGAACATCGTGGGTTCGAATCCCGCTCTTGACATTGACTTTTTTATCTCAACTAAAAACCTTAATTAATTGAAAGATATTAATTGGTCAAGCGGACCACGAAACTAGTGAATAAAACAATTTATTTTGAAGATTTCTGATAGGTTTTGAAAATATGGAGATTTTCTCAGTACGAATGGCTATTTTAGCTAAGGTGGCGATCTTTTGCCTTTAAACTCTGTCTTCTGAATTAAAAGTGTTACATCGTGGTTCTACTTTCATTTTATTAACTTCTCCGTTAAAATGGTTTGCTTCGTTTTTTCATAAAATTGTTGTAGTTTTGAGACCTAGATATTTGTTAAACTGTGCTTGAAATTACAGTAATTAGCCAGTTAACAAACAATCGAAAACCTTTTTTTTTATAAATTCTTTGTTTTCC